ATGTCTAGCAATTTTATGTATGGTTATGGGGTAGGGATCTCAACTGTTTCCAAGCTGTGACTCAGAAACTAGGTCCCTAGGGGTTCAGTCAGACCCCAGGGTCTATTCTAATATAATGACTGCATTCGTCCCTTTATGCCCAGCATTTGTATATATAGTTATGGGATGGGGGTCTAAACCGTTGCAAAGTTATGACCCAGGGGTTAAGTTTGCAAGAGTGGGGCAGACCCTGGTGTCAATTCTAATATCATGATTGCACTCATCTATGTATGCCCAACAATTGTATATATAGTTTTGGGGTGGGGATCTTAACCATTTTGAAGGTATGACCCAGGGGTTAAATCACCAAGGATGGGGCAGTCCCCAAAGCCATCCTGGAAGCATATGTGAATTCATCTCTTTATACTCAGCAATTGTGTATATGGTTATAGGGTGGGGATCTCAACTGCTTCCAAGCTGTGACTCAGAAACTAGGTCCATAGGGGTTAGGTCAGACCACAGGGTCTATTCTGATACAATGACTGCATTCGTCTCTTTATGCCCAGCATTTGTATATATATTTTTGGGGTGGGGATCTCAACCGTTTTAAAGTTATGGCCTAGGGACTATGTCTCTCAAGGGTGGGGCCAGACCCTAGGGCCATCATGGAAGCAAATATGCATTCTTCTCTTTATACTCAGCAATTGTATATATGGTTATATGGTGGGATCTCAACCCCACCAAATATTATCGATATCCATGGCATAGTTCTACAGAAGAAGTCGTTTATAGCAATATAGCCCTCCGTCCTCAGTCCCCTTGGGGGTCAGCCACACCATTTGTACAATTTTGAATCCCTGCCTCCCATGAATGCTTTTGTTTAAACATGATTGATATCCAGTGCATAGTTCTACAGAAGAAATCGTTTGTAGCAATATAGCCAAATTGTCCCCTTTTGGCCTCGCCGCTCAGCCCCCTGGGGAGTCAACCCCACCATTTGTACAATTTTGAATCTCCACCACCTAGGGAGGCTGCCAGTCAAATTTAGTTAAATTCCAATCAGTGGTTAAGAAGAAAAAGTCGTTTAATGAAATTGTTGACGGACGGACGACGGACGGACGGACGACACGGTATGGCATAAGCTCACCTTTGTCCTTAGGACCAGTTGAGCTAAATATAAACAGGTATATATATATACATCAGTACCATTTTTTGATGTGACAATACACATTTTATATATCTACATCAGAACCATCGTATACTATTACAATAAACAGGGATATATCTACATCAGTACTATTGCTGTTGTTATAATAGACAGGTACATATCTACATCAGTGCCATGTTCTGACGTCACAACAAACAGATATACCTATACATCAGTACCATCTTCTGATGTCACAATTGACGGGTATATATCTACATCAGTACCATATTCTTATGTCACAATAGACAGGTATATATCTACAGTGCAGTAAATACCATAATGCAACAAAACTACCTGAAGATTTGAAATGAAATGAAAAAGTGCATGTACGCTCATGACATCAATGACAAACATCGAAGACTATAGAAGCGCAGAAGGCAAAGTATATATATCCAGAAAATATCTCCTTGCACTGGCTATTCAGTTTTAAGATTATGCATTTTACCCTCTAATCGCTTATTAAGGAGCATGTCAGACAAGTGTTTCGTATCAAGCTATTGCATTACAATTGCGATTACTCGTGATGTTTACTGGTAATTAAATGTCAAACAGAACTTCTCTCCTTGCCATGTATACGCTAGCTGAACGACTTACTCCTTTTTGCTAAGTGTGACCATGCATATAGTATTCAACAGTTGGGTGAATCTGATGTAAAACAAAAGGCCATGAGTTTCAAAGCTTCCTGACATATGTATGGTATCTGCCACTTAACAATTAGTGTATCTATACACGAAGATAATTCTATCATATTGTTCAGTTTAACTTAATATCAATATATCGGTGACTAAAGGTCATAGGTTAAATCGGTCATCATTGTCAATGTATGACATACATGGTTTTGATTATCCCAAAACACAATATGAAAGTTATCAAATGTCACAAATCAATCAAAATGATCATATAATTGATTCCACATCAACATACATGGACACATGTTTTACTACTATAAAGGATATACTCATTTGGTTTTGGATATTTGACTGCCAATAATGATGAGGTTAGACAGAAAGTGTTATGATTACTATGTGCATTGATATATACTTTTTTTTGAGGAGGAATCGGACAAACATTGGTGCAAGCGCGGAGACAATGAGCTGGGTATGCATATCATTATTCAAATACTGTTTCATGTTGCACTACATGTTACCTATGTGTTGATTACTTGCAATACATTGTAGCACACACATTATGAACATGTACTCTAGAAACGTAATAATCCGGTAATATGAAGATGAACATATTGAACTTTAATACAGGTACAATTCATGCAATACGAATTTAAATTAAAAAAAACAACATAACTTACCTGACGATGACAGGAATACAAGCAGTAGAAATAACATGTTGGGCTAATTATCCGTCATGTAATTACATTATATAATTACAATTACATTATATAAGCCGTACTCCGTGAGATTCCGATGTTGTATTTCACAAACACAAATATTTTTTTATTTAACGCTGTAGAAAGATATCATGTCAAATACGGGGTCCGAACTTCCTTGTCCGTAAGACTCGATCACACATAATACGTAAAAATTTGGTCGTGTGTATACATGTGTGTACAGCTACCAAGTATATCCGTGTATCATATATGTTATCAAATGGGGGGAGACACACTATGGGCCCTACATGACCTATATATATATAAAGTTGTTTATAGAGTTCATAAATCCAAAACAAAATCTGATAACAGTCTAGTTGACATCACTCGAAAATGAGTTCAATTCAATTCCAAAAAGTGCGCTATGTAGCTGTACACAGGTACGGACGAAGATAGACCGAAGTCCGTGGTAAGCCCCATAACACTTATATGAAATATTGCCAGTTCGGTTTGTTAACTTATTTTTTCTTGTCGAAAACATTAGATATTTCCTTCTGACTTGGCAACGAGTCGAATAATATATCGCGTTACGGTACATACATGTTTATATGCAATGAAAAACGCACTGCAGATTATCCAATATAAAGAATGAAAAATAATACTCATCCTGTACACAAAAGAAAATTAAAGAAAATAACCTAATAGATGAAATTTAGAAGCTTGAAAATCATAATGATATAAATTTGGAAGAGTTAGGATAGGAAAAAGAAGGAATTATAAAATAATAGAACAGTTAGAGTGAAGGGAAGTATAAATCGATCAAAAGCTTTATGGATAGATGAAGGAGAAAAAACCAACAAATTATTGTTTTCAGTAAAGTAAACAGAAAGTAAACATAAACAAATATTCCAAAGCTGCAGATGGAAAATAGGGAAGTAATAACACAAAAGGTGATAGTTAGAAAAATAAAAAATAAATATATGAAAAATTATATTTCACTGTTGATAACGAATTTATAGAATGAATTTGATGTGCTAAAATTGAATATAGTAAAAGCTGTAAGTTTAGAAGGATTACTAACACTAAAAGAGGCATCTCAAACCCTTAGAAACATGAAAAATAATAGCCCGAGTTCAGATGGATTTATTTAAAAAAAAATTAAACTGTTTTTGGAAGAAGCTTTGAAATATTGTTGACAAAATTGCATCTGGATGTATAGCTAGTAGACTTTAATTATTTTTAGAAAAATTGATGAACTCAAATCAGACAGGATTCATATCAGGACGTTATTTAGGGTGAAATACTAGGCTCATCTATGACATCATGCAATATGCTGAAGACATAATATCCCTGGAGCGTTATTGCTAATTGATTTTGAAAAATGCATTTGATTCTGTCTCTTGGAAATTTATAAATAAAGTCCTTACGACTTCAGATTTGAGAAATTGGGTAAACATATTGCATTTTAATCCTTGTTCTGCAATAATCAGGGAGTATCTTATAATCGTTCTTTAATATAAAACGTAGCTGTCGCCAAAGCGATCAAATAGCACCTTACATTTTTATAATTTGTACAGAGATATTGATAATTCCGATAAGAAATAACAGAAATATTACTGGCATCAATATTGAGGACTGTCAGATTATAAATTCTCAATATGCAGATGACACTTTTTTTTTAATACGAGATGTAGAAAGAAATAAAGGTATTGGTAAACCAACACAATTAGAAGGTAAGGAAATTCAACGTCCTGTGGAAAGTGGTCGGTCAATGCACCGGTGTAGGGATCCGAGGTGGATACCGAAGTAATCAAGTACAAATAGGTAAGTGTAGGAGCGTCAACATCAAGTTTTCCGTAAAGGTAGATCTAGATGTTTCAGATGACTAGGCCACCCGTCATCATAACAATTTTACAGTATCATTTACAGAGTTACGGTGCAAGTTACGGTTCGCCATGTGACGTCATAATAACTGTTAAGTAATAATGTGATATACAATTGAAATTGCCGGGAAATGACATGTTAGATATCAGATCAAAATCAATTGTTCTTAAACATAATGCTTGAATGGAAATGCTAATAAACACACACAATCCTATGTTGGTATTACTGGTTATTAATTTAGCCAGTGTTCAATAGTCCATAAATCCTGCAAACGGAAATGTGTAAGTCCCATAGGTTTTGTATCTACACATATGGTATCGTTCAATGTGTCCACTTTGTCTCCGTTTTCTAGATAGTTGTGGTTGATTGGTGGTAAATCTGTGTCTGCGTCTGAATCGCTGAGGTACATATCTTCTGATTAATCCATTGGTGCAAAAACGGTGCGTGTTTGTTTGTAGTCCATTACATCCTGAACAATTCGGAAAAGTGTCTAGTTTAAGTTGGTCCATAGTGCAACCTCTGGTGGTGGTCTCCAGTTTTTTTTTGGTTTAGAAGCCTCTATTTGAGGGTTGTATATTTCCGATGAAATTCTGATATCCGGAACTGCCTCTTGGTGAGTTTTCTTGACGTATTTTTTTGCTACATCTGAACGGCAATATGCCTTTTTTGAGATGTCACAGTGGTGTCTGTTTGGGTTGGAAGAGTGTTTAAAATGCATGTGTCAATATATAAGAACGAAAGTCGTTTACACCGGAAGTTTACCATCGCAGCTGATTACTGACAGCTGCTGAGGATGGAGCCGGACAGTGAAAGAATGTGTGCTTTCCATTGCTATTGCTCACTTATCTACATGCTAAATAGAGAAAAAAAACGATACACAGAGTTTCACATCATCGCTTGAACGGAATATGTCATTACGTACGATGGAAGAATTGTGGCCATTACCAATCACACTGACGGCGACGCCTCGCTAGGTCTTGACGTTGAAAATTTCATTCGAAGCATTGCAGCTATACCGTGTTGACTGTAGACATGGATTTTGTTTAGAAACAAGTAATAAATGGCAGTGTAAACAGCTTCAAGTGATACGAAAGAGAGTCTGAACACGTCAATGTCCCCAGGGACCCATACCGAACATTCAGACACGAGCAGACGAGTTTCTACAATGAGGTAAATATATAGTGTCATATCCAAAACAGTGCACATGCGTTTGTGTAATTGTCAGATTGATTACTTTTTTATCACACTCTCAGCAAACCCATAACTTAACTTGTTTTTGTTTGCACGTAGGACATCAGCGCATTTATCTGTGTACCAGTAACAGTAAGGGGGGGGGGGGGGGTTTTTTTCCTTTTTTT